TCCAAAAATAATATTATATACAGAGTGTTCCATTTGAAAAATCAAAGTTGCTACTGCTTTCTAATAGAAGCGGCAACACCGCATTGTCGAAAATATTTTAGTTGGCTAGAGAATGTCCGAATATGCCCTCCATAAAATTGTCAAAGTGATCCGTTGTCTGGTTCACCAGAAACGTCTAATGTGCCATCCACCGTGAATCAGCCTGTATACTTTTTGTGATGGTCTCAGCATATGTTCATGTCCGGAAATTTTGTATGCAATAAATGAAAAAAAATGAACTTCAGAAGTGTTCATAACACTTTGGAGTACTGTCAGATTGTCACAGATTCACAATAAACCAAAATATTTTTTAGCTCAAACTGGTACGCCAATCCACACTTCAGAGGTACATATTCATTTCAGACTGTTAAATCAAGATTGGCAAATGAGGAAAAATCAGTTGAAGAACATTTGGCAGCCCCATTGACGGACCTTGAAGGAAGGCCGATTGTTTTATTTGCAGGGGAAGCAACTCATCCGCATTATTACTCCACTGTTCATGGAGCTATAGAAAGCGGATATAGAGAAGCTCATAGATTATTGGACCTTCATCATCGACATCAACTACGATAAAATCTAATGAATGAATACTGGGATCCACATCGAGTTGAATGGAACAAAATTTTTCACATTTCAGAACTCCTTTGATATCTGTCAGGTTCGAAAATGAAGGGAAACCAAGAAAAAACTGCAAGTTATATAATATTTTTTTTATTTCTAAAAAATAAGACAAATTTACAGCCTCCGAAACTTCAGGATGAATATCTGTACAATATTTCATTTTTAAAATTATTAAATACTACGAGTTTCTGATGATTAGAACATTTTTTTTTCGCGAAAAATACGTTGAATTTACACAGTAATTAATCCTGGCAAACTAAAAGTTTGCCTTCTCTAGACCTGCATGAAGTTTTCCGTTACATTTTCATTTCAGATTGTGAAAGATGAAAATCCATCAAAAAGTCAATTCTTTATTACCTACGTTCCAATTGATAACTAATTAATTCAGCTAGCTGAAAGATCAGACATCATCCATAATTTACTGAGTTCCAGTAGAAAGAGGCAAATAAAATCAATGAAATTTCTTAGTAATTTATTCTAGGTATGAACAAATTAGGTGAAGCATTCAATTTGATTTGATCGTTGATTAGATATTGAATTTTTCCACCGCGTCAAGTTTTATACGAAACTGTTTCTAATCCTAACAAATATGACAAACACTTCATGATTCGCCAATCATCTTCTACGTTGTGTTTTTTGTGCAAATATATTTCCGTAGATGCTCAATTCCTGGTGAACCCTGAAATGAATACTGATATGCAGTTATATCTCTGTCAGTGTATTGAGAAACTTGTGAGGAATTTATTCTGAAAACAAAACAACCAGCTGTGTGAGTTATGTAATTAGTTTTGATAATGTTGACATATTTTTACTCATATTGTCTGTTTTGTGTTGTTTCCAAAACTTCACCCTTAATTCAACTCCAAAATATTAATTTCACAATTTTGAATATCACATTTATGACCACAGTCATGATTATTCTGACACAAAATATGGTCTGAGGGTGGAAACAGAATTAGGAATATTGCCTTTACTTTCATTAATTGAGATTCTGAAAGTTGTCAAGTTTTTTCCACCCTGAAATGAAATATTCTTTAAGCCTGTCTCATCATTGTTAATAACTTTGCATTTTTCAGTGATTCCGAAGTTTTTTTTGTTTTTTTGCATCATTGAGTTATATAAATCGATGAGGGTGCAGTTTGATCATCTGGTAGAATGTTTTTTTTTCAATCAATTAAAGTCAATGATATTGCAAAATTCATTCCAATCAAAACTTTACAGAAATTTGGTGATGATTGAATATAATAGAAATTCCTAGCAATAATGTTTGTATCTAGCCCGTGCTGATGAGGACCAAATAAAATTATTGGAGGATACCAACCTTTTGGGTAGAGTTCAGATATGTAGAAAGTTCCGAATTCATTGATCTTGTTTCTGCTGGGAATATTTTTGAAAGGCACTTTACAATTTCTCTTTGATATACTTTTCGAAGGCACCTTACAGTCCCAAATCCAAGACACCAAATGGAAACCCAACTCAATGATGCTCATTATTGATCCTCCCAAAAATAGGCCTATTATCCCTCCGATTGAAGCTGAAACAAACATTCGTCTCAATTCAAAGTGCACTATAGAGAAAGTTATAGTTTTATATAGTTTGAAAGTTGAAGTTAACTTTTGTGGAGCAGACTATTTTGCAATTTTGTTACTGATAATTTGGAAGCATTTTTTCATATACAATTCATTATAAAAGACGAAGCCTATTTTTATGATGATTGTACTAATGTCTAATAAATTGTATTACGTTGTAAGTAATAATATATTCTTCCATTTCATGCATTTAGAAACTTGCGTTTCTAACAACTTAACCATACCAACCATAATATATATTTTCAATTTATTCATGTTGAAAAAATTACAAATGTTGCTCAAGATATAATTATCAATGTATTTGATATCACTCAAATAAAGAATGAAGAGAAAGGGTCCAAGCATACTCCCTTGAGGAGCACCTACACTAACTATTTACTTGCTTGGTTCAGTATCATTTCCTTTAGTGCATTGTGACCTATTTAGCTAATAGCCAGAGTCCCAGTTAAGAGCCTGTAAGAGCCTGATACTCGTATTCCATTTTGCTTAGAAAAATTTGAATGTCTACCGAGATCACCCGATCTCACGCCACTTGACTTTTTTTATGGGGTGTTTTAAAAGAAAGGGTATACAGTACTCCAGTGCCTACCAAAGAAGAATTGCGACGGCGAATAGTGCGGAGTATTGAAGATCTGGATCCCCAGGAAATTGAAAAAGCAACCACAAGTCGCGTACAAAAAAACATTTTAAAGTGTTTAAAATGTAATGGACAACATTTTCAGCATTTATTGTGAAAATGTGATATTTTGTTTACAATTTTGTTATTTTGAATCATACTATTCTGTTATTGTCTGTACTTTCACATGTTTAAGCCCACAAAATCTTACTTTTTACCTAGAAATGACTGATTTTTGGTACAGTTGTCCCCCGGAAACTTTGAGCCGTAGTTAAGGAAATTATTTTGTAACCTTACAAACTTCCTCTCGTTCATTGGTGTTAATTCAAGATACATTTGGTTGAATTTTTTACACGTTCTGACAATGATTTGATCACTTTGTTCATGTGTATAATAAATAATTTCAAAAGAACTTCGTTTGAATAATCGATATTTGCATTCATTTTGGAAGATGATTCGAAACACCGTCGATAACTCTTTGTAAATTACTTATAAAAGTAACCGAACTGCTATAAGTTTGATAATTCCACTGCTACCTAAATCCAAATTCTAAAAAAAAATAATGTTTCTAGAAGAAGCGACTTTATTGAGAAAACTTGACGATTTAGGTATGGGGACATGATATATCATCTTGAAGAATTTTTCACCATCTTTCAATTTACCGAGTAATATACAGGGGGTTTCATTTGAAAAAATTAACTTTTGACTACTTTTATGCACAATGGAAATAATAGTAATTTTAGCACGCCCTGTATGATATGGAGTCGATTTCTTGGTGTTATTTGAATATTTCGAGTTTGTCCAAACTATCATCAAAACATCAACTTTTCATGAATTGAGAGTACTGATGTACTTAATTTCAATTAAGGCTATGTTTTGGACCATATTTAGCACATTTTATTTTTTATCTCGAAAACAGATAGAGGTAGGTATAGGACATTATTAACAAAAAAAGATTAAAATACCAGAGCAATTCCAAAAATGTATTAATATACGGGGTGTTCCATTGAAAAAAATATAATTGCTAGGACTTTTTGATAGAAGTGCAACGCCGCAATGCTGAAAATACTTTAGATCGATAGAACAGGAATTTTCAGAAAAATCATGCTTTGCGTTTTCCAGAAACGCCTAACCTACCATCGACCGTGAGTCACGCTGTATAACCTCATAGTTATATAGTTATCTCTACGGTAATTTTATCACATTTTTATAATAACTCCTAAATAGTGTATCACAAATTCAAAATTTTCCATAGGAATATGAAAAACTGAAACCAAAGATTAGATAGGAAAAGATCTTATCAAGCCACCTTTCGAGTGTTATTTTTGTCGTACCCTGTATAATTGTTTTCTATTATTCGTCGTTTCTGAAGAATTGAAAACTGAATCAATATACTCATGATTACTCGCAAGCGCAAGATAAACTTTAATCTATGAATAAATAATAATAAATCAGTTCATTATGATGACTTTAGTAACAAGATACATTCAAATGGAATAATAGATCTCTGTAAAGTTCATCGAAACTGAAGAACTGACTGGACTTTGCGCGAAAACACTTCTTTGCCATAATTTCCAAGTGTCTGATGCAATGGCTATGCAGAGATTTGGGTTGATTTTTATATTATTAACAACAACACTTGTGAGAGGGGAACCTTCAGTTATTATCATCGGCGCTGGAGCGGCTGGTATAGCTGCCGGAACAAAATTACTGAAAAACAATTTCACGAACTTCAAAATCTTAGAAGCTGAACCAAGAATCGGGGGAAGAATTCGAAGCGTGAAGCTTGAAAATGCGTTTGTCGATCTGGGAGCTGAATGGTGTGATGGACAAGAAGGTAACTTGGTTTATGACAAGGTTAAAGACTTGAATCTACTGGAGCCCACCAGAATACCGACAGATATTTATCTGTCCACCAAAACCAAACTAGACGACGAATTCGCTAACGAATTATTCGCAATTTTCAATCAACTTCAAAATCCAGCCGGTGATATACCTGATGATAGAAACGAAACCTTGGGAAGTTACTTCGAGAAGAAGTGAGTATTTCGTTCTCATTTCCATTCCTTCATTTAGTTTGTCTCAATTTAAAAAGTTCAGAGTTATGGGGGTGTAAGTAATAACTCCAATAGGTGCTAAAATAGTATTCATACATTTATAGTACCTACTTCACTGAGGAAGTTGACAGAAAACCTGATTTTCATAGCTAGATCTATCTATATCCACTTGTGGAAAAAATTTACCCCAGTGAAAGTATATATTTAAAAAAAAATCGTCCAAAACTATTCGAAAATCTCAACTATGCTAATTTTTGAAATATCACCATTTTGAGTATTCTTTTTTGTCTATTATTTCTTTGTCTATTTTTATCTATTATTTTTTATCATTTGGTTCAACGAATGAAAGTTTCTTGTACCTTAGATATATGCCTATCATCACACCTGAATTGGATTTTTTCCCAATGATGTGCAACTTCAAAACGTTGCAAAAATACATAAGAAATTTCTGAAACATTCCAAAAAATATCTTATGAGAGCAGATTATAATTGAATATTATCAACTACTGCAATAAATTAATTTGAAATTCTTCTAAAAACAGTCTCGCCCTTTGGATGCTGTTTTTTTTTTACAAAATTATCGATAGTACAATAAATACCCCTGACAACAATTATTAGGGTTCCATTTGCAACTATGTTTTGATTAGCTAATGACTTTGATGCAATTATCGATTTAGATTGGATCCGTTCACAAAGTGAATTCGACGCATTTCCTTGGATTATATCTTAGATACGAGTGAATAATTTTCAGTTTAAACTATCGATTAGCCATTATCGACAGTTGAAACTGTCAATTTTACATCATTGACAGCTGAAACTATCGATTATTTGAAATCGACGGTTCAAACTGTCGATTATAGATGATTGACAGCTCAAACTATCGATTATTTGAAATCGACGTATCAAATTGTCGATTATAGATAATTGACCATTAAAACTTTCGATTAGTCTTGATCAACAGTTCAAACTGTCGATTAGCCACAATAGACAGTTCAATCTGTCGATTGTAGATAATTGATAGCTCAACCAATCGATCATTTGAAATCGACGGTTCAAACTGTCCCTTTTAGATAATTGATCATTAAAACTTTAGATTAGGCATAATCGACAGTTTAAACTGTCGATTAGGCATAATCGACAATTCAAACTGTCCATTAGCCATAATAGACAGTTCAATCTGTCGATTCTAGGTAATTGACAGCTCCAACTATCGATTATTTGAAATCGACGGTTTAAACTGTCGATTATAGATAATTGACCATTAAAACTTTCGATTAGGCATAATCGACAGTTCAAACTGTCGATTAGCCATAATAGACAGTTCAATCTGTCGATTGTAGATAATTGACAGCTCAAACTATCGATTATTTGAAATCGACGGTTCAAACTGTCGATTATAGATAATTGACCATTAAAACTTTCGATTAAGCATAATCGACAGTTCAAACTGTCGATTAGCCATAATAGACAGTTCAATCTGTCGATTGTAGGTAATTGACAGCTCCAACTATCGATTATTTGAAATTGACGGTTCAAACTGTCGATTATAGATAATTGACCATTAAAACTTTCGATCAGGCATAATTGACCATTAAAACTTTCGATTAGACATAATCGACAGTTCAAACTGTCGATTAGACATAATCGACAGTTCAAACTGTCGATTAGACATAATCGACAGTTCAAACTGTCGATTAGCCATAATAGACAGTTCAATCTGTTGATTGTAGATAATTGACAGCTCAAACTATCGATTATTTGAAATCGACGGTTATAGATTATTGATTCGATTAGCCAAAATCGACAGTCCAAACTATCGATTGCCATAATCGCCATTTCAAACTATCAATTAGCCATAGGTAATCGACAGTTCAAACTGTTGATTGTAGATAATTGACAGCTCAAACTATCGATTAGCCATAATCAACAGTTCAAACAGTCGATTCTCTATAATCGACAGTTCAAACTGTCGATTATGTATGATTGAAAGTTCAAATTGTCAATTATATATAATCAACACTTCAAACTGTCGATTGTAGATAATTGACTGTTCAAAGTATAAGTTATATATGATCGGCAGTTCAATCTTTGATTATAGATAATTGAGAGTTCAAACTATCTATTATGTATAATCGACAGTTCAATCTATCGATTAAAGATATTTCACAGTTCAAACTATCGATTATCGACAATTTGAATGGTCAAATATCCATTGATTGAACTGCCGCTTATGTAAAATTGACAGTTATCGACGATTATGGCTTAACGATAGTTTGAACTGTCGATTATGTACCATCGACAGTTCTAACTATCGATTATGTATAATCGACAGATTATACTATCGATTAGCCACAGTCGACAGTTCAAACTGCCTATTATCTATAATCAACTAACTGATTAACACGATGCTTTCTCATTTTCATTCCAGTTATCCCAGAATAATAACCCAAAAATATGCTACTAATCCCAACAAATTAGATATAGCTAAAGATGCTATGGACTTGGTGAGGTCACACGTTCTGTGGATTAGGGGCGGATTTTCTTGGTTTGATCCTGCCCTTATAACTGACCATAAAAATGCCGGAGGGGATCACACTCTGAACTGGAAAGGACGAGGATTCAAAACATTTCTTGACATCCTGATGGAAAAATATCCTGACAGTGACCAACATTCTCCCATAGACGAAAAAATTTTACTCAGTAAAGAAGTAACCAACATCTCGTGGAGAAATGGTGCCAACATAACTTGTTCAGATAATTCTTCGTATTATGCTGATCATGTTATTTTTACACCATCAGTGGGAGTTCTAAAACAGAAGAAAGATACTTTATTTTCACCGGAACTTCCTTCTGATAAACAGAGAGCCATAGAAAATATAGGCTTTGCTGCTATTATAAGGGTTGTTATGTATTTTTCTGAAGATTGGTGGAGAGACTCGCCTGGATTTTTTTTCGTTTGGACAGAACAACATAAGAAACATCTATCCGAAGAATTTCCTGAAGGTCCTAATAAGGTAAATGGAAGATTGTCACAGATTAAAATGAAGGAAATTTTACATTTCACAAAAGTACAGGTACTTTAGTTACCATTTATAAGAAACATCCTGAAAAATCCCAATTATGGAATAACACCCTTGAACTATAATTTCATTCAACAACCCTTCTTGCGGTAAGAGCATCTCTTTTGGTGTTACCGTTTCATTAAAAATCAAATGCTCAAGGCTGGGTGTCCCATGCTTTTTAATAATGTAATCATTGATGGAATGGGGCGGATCAACTATTTTCTTGCTTCATTCTGTCTTTGAAATCATTGATGTTATTTGATCTGTTTTTGCAGACTATAGATTTCGAAAAATAGTCAAGTGGAGTTGAGTCGGGAGAACGTATAGGTCTCTCAACTCAACCACTGTAATATAGTTTGTTCTACATGATTGAGACATCATCAGCCAAACTAGTTGCATGTGATGAAAATTGCTTAGATCAAGTTCATATCATATCATTAACGTAGACGATGAAAAGCATAGGATCTGAAACATAACCCTGCAGAACTCCATGTTCCGTTATAACAAAAATCTGATTTATTGACTTGCCATTTTACTCTTGATATTCCTGCACTTCATAGTATTTAATTTTTTTATCAAAAAATTATGATTTTCATAAGAATACTCCATGCAATATTGCTTATTTCCATAAGACTCTAATATGTCCTCACAAGCTTCGCTTGAGATTAATAATTGTGGATCTGTTCAACCTTTGAACACGTTAGTAAGCTATTAGTTTAAAAATTATTTATTATTCTGTTTTGTCTGTTGTGTATACTGTATACTATTGAACAAATGCAGATTATGATAACCTTTCTGTAATCGCAAAAAATTTAATATTCGATGTTTCATACAACAAACAACGTTTTTATCATTGCCACAGTTTCGAATGATTTATAAAGAGAACTTTAGGATTAAGATAAATGTTTCTTCACTTAAACTCAGCTTCCAATTTATAAACAATTCATCAAATTCAAAGATAGAGGTTTTTCTGTGAAATATGAATAAATATGTATATATTTTTTTAGGTAGGGCAGTCATGGTTGACATCCTTGTTCAAGATTTATAGACAAGACTCAAATCCCAACGTGCTGATAGCGCTGTTTGTCGGTGATTTTGTTCCTGATATTGAAGTTCTTCCGGAAAACCTTCTGATGAAAGGTGTTTATTTTGTAATGGAAAGGTTTTTGAGTCAAGATTACAATGTCACAAAGCCAGATAAAATTATAAGGTAAGATTTCGAAACGTAATTTTGAACAACAACAAGTAATACTTCTGCTTTTTCAAGCTATTGAATAGCATGTGGAAACGCTTGAAGAAGCTATTGTATAGCAAAACACATGTTACTGTTTTGCAAACTGTCAAGTGGAAATCTCTCAATGAAATAAATGATTTATTGAAGAAATAAAAATTGAAGGATATCAAGTCAAGTTACTTCACTACCTAACCTCAATTTTTTTCATCATTTTATCGGTTTGAAGGAAATAATCACTCTATAAACTACATGACAAAACTCAGTACTCATTGTTAGACCAATTGTAGGAGAGTACAGTTTCTTCTTATACTCCCCTTTTCTTTTGTTCTAGAACAAATTGGTATACAAATCCTCACTTCAAAGGATCATATTCTTTCCAAACTATCAGAGCACGAAGAGAAAATGGGCAGATATCGGCCGAAGAGAAATTGGCAGAGCCTCTAAGAAATTTTGAAGGAAAGCCTCTTATACAATTCGCGGGAGAGGCAACTAATGTTTTACACTATACTACCGTTCAAGGAGCTGTGGAAACTGGGTATAGGGAAGCTGATATACTCCTGAATTTGTATCAATGATTTTTTGTATCTCATCAGTTCGTGTTATATTTTTCATTCAGAAATAATAGCATATCATTCGACGAATGAGAAATACGAGTATGGCTTTTAATTGTGAGAACAAAATTGACTTCAAAATAAGATTCATAGTGGAGACTATCGAAAATCATGTATCATCATGGAATTTTACCAATTGAAACATTTATATGCGCTTTATATAACACTTGAATCAACAAGAAGCCACCTAAAACATTAAGAAGATAAATTTAGTGAAATAATGAGACAGATCCAATACTCCTCAGAATAAATTAATCTTGAAACTTCTCACCTAGAAGGGTATCCCATGTTATGAATTCATTTCTTCTGAACTCAATAATTCCGGATGATCCGAAGTGGACAGAAACCACGGTCAAATTGTCGTTGTCTGTTTCGGCGATATCTCTGAAAATTTACGAAATAATAATCAGAGTAAAAAGAAGGTGACAGTGATAATTCATTTTTGAGTTAATTGTCATGACATATGAATCACCAAATGATATTAAGCAATTTTCCAATACAAAAATATCAATTTGGCATCAAAGAATTGTTGTAATAATTTAGATTATTATATTTGTTTGTTTTTGATTTTGATTCTTTTCAGGTTTTATATTTATATATGAATTCATAACATTACCTGTATAAACCATTGTAGTTTATGGTCATAAACGAATTTTGAATGAGCTTAAAACAATAACAAATGAAACATATTAGTATTATTTTGAAAAAAGCTACAATGGCTTGATTTACAAAAAATATGACACAAAGCGCTCATGTTTTTTTCGCCGGTAAAGTTTGAGGTTAAAATTGCGTCATCTTTTTCACCTACGTGTGGATCGGGGCATAATGGGATACTATCTCGTTTTGCCCCGCCCTTGTGATTAAAATAACATTTTCTATGTACTGATAATCAAGTGACTGAAAAAGGTAAAAAACAAATAAAGAAACCTGGAAAAAAGACTGCAAAGAAGATTAAAAAGACAACTGACAAGGAAAACCTGCAGAAAAAGCGTCAAACCAAAAGGTGCAAAAAAGAAACTGAATCGGAAGATAGTTCATCCCAAGAAGAGGATGAACTGTGCTTGCATCTATTGTGGGTACTTATACTCAGATTCAACCGAAGGTTTGGTCATCTGCGGCGTGTGCCACGATTGGGCGCATAATTCATGTGCCGGAGTCGATGAGGAGGATGAAGAGGCACACATTTGTGAACGCTGTCTACCCGATTGAAAAACGTACTCGTTTTGCCCCACAGCGTTTCCCATCTTACCCAAGTTATGGGGCAAAACGAGAAATTTGCCGAGTTTATTTTTTCATTAATCGCCAAAAAAAGTTCTGTGATTTTGCATGCTACAAAGTTGAATTATAAGAGAGAAATGTATAATGGTTACCTCTTTTGTTAAAGAATGTTATTAAAGAGTTTAATTTTCCTTGTATAACGAGTTTTGTCCTAGCTATCTCATCTTGTCCCAGTCTCCCCTACAAAATTTCGCTAACACTTATAATTCCTGAAATCCATTTTTTATATTGATTTTATTTCGAACAACCTATCAAGGGGATTATGTACAGCGCCATCCGCCCGCGAATAGATCAAGGAGGTTATGTACAGCGCCATCTGCCCACGAATAGATCAAGCAGGTTACGTACAGCGCCACCTGTCCTCGAATACATCAAGTAATAATAATGTCGATAATTATGTCAATACAGATCCCAAGCTTGGAGTTACAAGTAAACAAAACTCTGTTTTTCATACATACATACAGGTGACGCTAATATAAAGCGTGTAAAAAAAAGGGTTGAGCAATAACAATTTGAATATTTCAATTCAATTCAATATGTTTGCCTTTCATACTGATCGTTAAGTTATACTTTAAGTTATACTTTATTACTTTCAATCATTCGAATACTTTTTTGCAGTCAGATTTCAAATCTTTCGAACACTTTTCAGAAAATGGAAGTCCAGACCAAAATAGCCTATTGAAGTCGACCAAATAAGTCCTACTTCTCAGCAAAGCTTACTTGATGAGTGATCTGTCAGATCAGATGGTAAGAGTGAAACTCTGTCAGACTTTAGAAACTTGATTTGGCCCGCAGCTGAGCAGAAACAAAGTCCATACTCTTCTGTTTCATCATCTCCCAAAAACAGGCAGCTTGCACTCTCTTCCGACCCTTCAAACCTGTGCATACGATGATTGAGAAGTAAGTGGCACATAAGTAGGCCTATTAGATAGCGTGGGCCATCCTTGCTTCATTATCTAACAATTGTTTGCTTATATTTGGAAGGATATATGAAGGAATCTGGTCTGGAGATTGACCTGACCTGTGTCATTCTTGATACATTATGTCAGAAGCCTGAAATTTCTCTTTGCACTCAACGTATTCGGTGTTTCAGTAGAATCATTTCACGTAAGAGGTTTAAAATTCTACTTAACCATACGAACGGCAGATTCAGGTGCGATGAAACTTCTTGCAGCAATTTTCCTTGTGAGGAAGCTTCATTGCCCTCCTAGCCGGTGTGACCAGAAACCCAACCAAAGACAACTTGTTGAGTCTTCTTATTGAGGGATCTTTTTTGGCTCTGTCCACCTCCAATTTGGACACTGCTGCTGATTGATGTGTGAGGTCATATAGGTCCCTTGGCAGGTTTTGGGTCCATGACTGTATAAACCTACACCAGAATCTAAAGGTGTTCTAGATCGATCTGCCCTTAGTTTTTTCTCGTCCTAGATCAGAGGTAGATCGTAGTCGACAGCTGTAGGGATTAGGTCAGAGGTCATTCCAAAAAATCTCCAGCTTGCAGTGTCACGTTGTACTCTGGTTAGGCTCCATAAAAGCCTGTTTGTGTATGTTGTCCATCCAACCTCTTTCTTCAGAAAAATGCGGAGAGTAAATAAGTCTAGAAGGATTTTCATGGCTAGTGACGATGTGGTGCTGATGTTAGCAGAAATAACCAGACAAACTTATCTTCTATATATCGGAGATCCAAACTACTAACATTGATTTTATGGTACATTTTCTTTTCACTTACATAAAATCATGGAAATTTTTCAAAAATGAATATTTCTTGAAGAAAATGTGAATACAGGAAGCATATCACCCTGAATGTGAATTAGGTTATATCGTTCATGTTTGCAAAACAATACTTACGAAAATGACATGTGTTCCATCTGAACTGTGGTGGTATACGTGATCTCGTTGCATAATGAAGGACAGTTACAAACGAATATTCCTCTAAGTCTATCTGAAAATACAAGTAATTTACTTTTAATTTAATGTTCATATATTGAAAGTAGTTATTTAGAATGAACTTTGTTTTCGAGAAGAATATTTCTGTGCAAGATTTACACAACTTTTCCCTTCTTTTTTTGTAAGTTCACAAATTTTTTGTATAGTGACGGAAAAGTACAAACTTATCTCTCCTCAAAAATATTCCATTTCCAATTCAAACCCCACATATGTATACATGATATAGCTCACCTTCATCGTCACTGTCAATTCTCATATTGACAAACTTTTCTGTAAAATAAAAATTCAGGTTGTCAAACAAGGTTTTTGTTTGTTTGAAGGTGATTGACAATGTTTCGTGATGAATTTCACTAGTTCGGACTTCCATTGTCTATTATATAAAAATGATTTGAAATCCCTGAAACAAGTAAAAAAGAATAATTAAAAAACTTGTAGGTTATTTTACTATCATTTCATTTCAGGTTTATTGTTGCTTAATATAATTGTTATTTTCAACTATTCTTTTTTAATTATTATTTTTTACTTGTTTCAGGGATTTCAAATCATTTTTATATAATAGACAATGGAAGTCCGAACTAGTGAAAGGTTTTTGTTAAGATGAAGATAAATATAAGTGTATTTGCTTTTGAAAGTAATTTATTCAAAAATAATTGCAAGATCTACTTGAGTAATTCCAACGGAATAGAAATGACAAAAAATAAGTGAAAATTTTAGAATTGATTACGTATTGTAAACTTGTGAACTGAATCTTCAATATTTTGTGAGGCCTTAACTTATAATTTGAGACACATACACTTACTCTCAGCTTTTATGACACATGATGAATCCATAATAGTGCAAAATCGTTTGTCTGCAAAAAATATTCATTGTTAAGAATGAGAAATTATAATAATATTAATAATAATAACATTGAAGACTATGGTTTATCAAAGCGCTTTCCTCAGGTCGAGTGGGCTGAAGTCGGAAACTGAGGGGTTCATCATGGCCTGCCAGGATGGTGTCTTCAACACCTTAGTCTACCGCAGTCGCGTGATGGGTACAGCGGTTCCTGACACAAGGTGCAGGGCCAGCCGCGAGGCGTCCGAGACCCTAATGCACTTGCTGTCAGCATATCCAGCATATACGGTCTCGGTCGACATTCATCGGCCCTAAGAGAGCTTTATTACCATCTTAGGCACTCTTACGGTATTGAAGAGACACCGGTGTTGCCCTACGCTCCGGGGGATATTGAATCCGTTGTGGGAAACGAGAAGTGCTGAATTTATTGGAACTATTCGTTCCCCACCCTCACGCCCGATGTAGTTCTTCTCGACCACCAGAGCAAGACACTATTTGTCGTGGAGTTTTCAGCTTCTGGTGAGACGAATATCGTCTCATGTATACTGTATTTTTTCACAAACAGATGAACATTACAAAAATACAAGCTAAAAATCATATGCCCAAAGATAGCTCCTTGCAGCACTGCCTTTATATCGGTAGAGCATTCGATACAACTCCATCCACAACAACTCTTTCAGTACGATTGTTTGTCACACAATACTTCGTGATCAAGAGTGTCGAAGGCTTTGCTATACTCCAAAAGTACTGAACAGGTTAAATTCTACAGCTTTAAAGATTACGTCGGTAATTGACAGAAAATACGTGGTGGTACTATGCACATATAATGGGCTCATGTAGAAGGTAAAAAAATGTCCATCGGGAGTCGTAGAAGATTGATTGTAAGACCATCTCAGGGTTACGAAACTATGAAACCCGGAATTGGTTATGAGTGATTATCGTAGACCATTTATTTTTGTCGATTCCAGACAATAGTCAATACCAAAAGCTGACAACTTCATTATTATCATAAATGAAAAGTTGAACTTCAGAAGTACTTCAGAAAGATTACAAATACAAATTAAACTATCGGAAATACACTTTCGAAAGTACAATACGGAAGCAATTCTTAAAACAGGTAAACCATAAACAACTCAGACGCATATATTTCTTCATATTGGGATGAAGTATTATGGAACAGTACCAAAACTTCTAGATTATATTACCTACTGATGAAGAGGGATGTATAAATCAGTTTCTTTGAAGATTGTGAAGTGGTTCAATATCATCACAAACATATTCCATTATTGCTCAGGATTAATGGTGGAATTGAAAGATTGAAATTACATTCTACGTTGGACTAGAAGTGGTTATTGACAAGTAGTAGTGCAAATAAAGTGATACTCACTAAATTTTTCGACAGTATACACAGATGCATCAGCAGATTTATTCCTGATGAAAATCTGTTGGCAAACATGAGATTTATACATTTGTTTATATTATTGTAGTTGACTATAGGTGTAGCCACTTTTGTAGCTTTTTAGCAGAGTAACCCCACAGTTTTATAATGATACAGTGAGGAAGGTTACCATGTGATTTATTTCTGATAACACTATCATAGGTTAAAATAACTGGATGAAATTATAATGAAATTTAAATAACAATACATTCGGTACAAACAATAAGTTTGAAAAGGCATTCATTTATTAAGTATGACTTTTTTGAATTACTTAGAACACTTACCCGACACAGGATAATAAAAAGGAATACATTCACACATATTCCATATCACTTGAAGTTTGCAGTTTTTAAGACAAGTTTCAACAGTATAGTACTTGGACCAAGGTATTTCCTTCTGAAAAAATAAAGTTTGGTAGGTTTTTCTAACAAAAAAACAATGAAAAATAACAAATCAGTAATAATTTTGAATTGAATTAAATTGAATGTAAAATGTTTTGTTGGATATTATCAAGGACCTCAAAATATTTGCACTAAATTTTCGAAGTGTATTGTTCTTCTATATGATCGAATTCTGAAAATTCAAAAATTCTTGCTCACTTCCACAACTAAAAAAAAGATGTTGAGAAATTAAAAGTCGGGGATATTTAGAATGAGCTATGAGTATTGCGACAAAAATTTATCGGTCAGACTAAGCGAGAAACTTAAACTCGTTTCAAAGAACATACATCACATCAAATTTTGAAGACTAGAAAAATCTACTGTAGCTCTAGTGTCTGCAGAAAAGTTGTTCTACATGTTTCACGATACATCAAACTGATAATTAAACAAATAATTTTTCGGGCCAATGAAAACAGATATATATCTTTGACGTATTTATTTAGAACTACTATGGTATTACAAGGTACTATTTACTGAATGTCACGGTCGCCCTAGCATTAGAGAGTATGGCTGATTGCTCAAGCGTTTAAAAAAAAATTTCATACAAAATCTGTCACAAATTTTATACTCTATAATTTTTATAATGAATGTAAACATCATTAGAGCTATAAAGACAGAGATAATTGCGAAAAACTGGCGTACCTAACTGGCTGCTCTCTCTCTCTCTTTCACTAGTACCGTACTAGCAAAAGAGAGAGTAGAAATTCTCAAGTCTCTTCCTAGATTTGACAAGCTGTACGCGTTTATAGCTTATTATCTCTCAATTTGAAATGAAACCACTGATATGACTGGACTATCTAAGTGGATCTAATTTGACGGAAGCCATGTTGACAAAGGGCGAGCAAAACCCTGTATTTCATATACAGGGCAGGCAACGAAAAATTGACCCATCCGTTGAGACATGTTTTGAAAAAAAACACAGGGTCATGAATATCTTTAGATGAGCCTTAGTGATATTTCGGACACCAGTCGAAGGTATTGATATATTTTTTCAAAAGAATTGTAAAACCCACCTCGTTGCTGAATAAACATCCACGACTTTTCACGTTAATATTCCTCAGTTCCTCTGCACTTGATAGAATCAAGGGCCTTAGAGAAATTGATATCTTACTTTCCACGTCTACATATGATCCGTAGAGAAATACGTCAGGATAATCGTAAGGATTTTGAACCAGCACCTGCAAAATGGTTGTTTTACTCATCATAAATAAATGAATCAAGGTAACTATGCTCAACGAATTCAAAATGACATATAATAATAGAATTTACTCACCCGAAAACCTGAATTTTCTCTTCTCGATAAATATTCCGATTCTTCCACGTCCAGGTATACTTTTAGTCCATATGAGCTACCGAAGCCTCCGGAAAATATCTGATTTTCTTCTGCGGGATTCCTAATGGGTTAACAATAACCGAATTAGATTCCTCAATACTTGATTTTATTTCAAAGTATCACAACACATCCCAAATATTTCCCCACGGTCTATCAGATTTATACTTCTTTTACTGATGCAATTACAGTCTGATGAACTTTTACTAAATCTTAATTTTTCTTTTCAATTCAAAGTGAAAGTTACGAAAGAAACATGTAATTTCTTGTCTGAAGGAAATATTTGCTCTTGTTTTCATTCTGAAGAATGAAAACAAGAGCAAATTTATTTGTTACTAACGTTACTGCATGTTCGTCCTATAATGAAGTTTGAAAATGTCCTTATAAGACGAAACTGCAGTAAGGTTAGTTACAAATAAAAACGTAATTTTCAAAAAACAAATAATAAAAATATGTGGCCCTTCTGGCGTCCACATCTCTTAGAGATAGAAGAATAGAGTAACATGATTCTACTATTCTACTATGGTTATTCAACCCTTACGTATTTTTAGCTCCTTGGTAATTATAGGAACAGCAAAAACCTCCCGTAGTTTTGGTTTTCTTGAACAATTTGTGACAATCCACTTCAGTGGCTCTCCATTCACACTTCCTCAACATTGAACTGCACGGCTGCGCCAACTGAAACATTAATCAATTTTGAAAAACGACGCATGCAAGTGAAAAATATCATATTTTTTGGAATCTTACAGTCGCTTCGTTTCATTCAATTTTTAAAAAATTCAATTCTGAAGACTTTTTCAAGGACACATCACAAGCAGTACAGAAGAAACCTTAAGGTGTTCAGTAGGAGATTTGAGCCGGTTCTAAGCCTGTACCGTGCATTCTCTCTCTCTCTCTCTCTCACACACACACACACACACACACAAAATCTCATATGAAAAAAAAATCTGAACGATCCATGAACCAGACACTTCAAGGTCACATCGCCTTGACTTCACTAAACAACAACAAAAAAAGCAATTAATACGTCATAGTGGTGAGGGGAGACTTAGAATCGGAAAAAAAATTCTGAACGATCCATGCACCAGACACTTCAAGGTCACATCACCTTGACTTCACTAAACAACAAAAAAAACAATTAATACGTCATAGTGGTGGGGGGAGGCTTAGAACCGGCTCAAATCTCCTACTGTGCTCTGTGCGAAAGTAGTGCTTCGTTGGATTTGAATCGCTGGAGATCAAATTAACTTAGAAAAACGTTCCAAAGAAGTTTATTCCACATAAACGCGGTTCTCCAATTGAAAGAGTTCCTGAACAGTGGAGTTCGAGTTGTACCGAATTGAGCATCAGTTCAGTAACGCAGAACAATGCGTTATGAATATTTTCTTAACGAAACCGATGTTTCAATCAAACATTACACTTTGAATAATTGAAGAACTTGAAGATTATTCCAAACAAAACGCAATATACTACCCTATCCATTAGCTTGTTCGTGTTGTATCCTTCTCTTTCTAGAATACGAGTAATCCGAATTGACTTTTCCAGGTTCAAAGTGGTTCTTGATATTTCATCATTCAGGATAGTGTTTGATAAGTTCTGGAAATATTCTTCAATGACATTGTCAGGAATATTGAATTTTTGCCTGAAAAAATAAAGTAAAAATAAATATCTCATTTAGAGAACTATGTTTTATGTTCATGCATCTTTACAATGATGGAGATTTTTCGACGAGTTTTCGCTCATTTTTGAGTATTTTGATGGCGCATTGCAAATTTTTCAAAGTAGTTGACTAAATTCTGCAGATTTTTCTTGTTGGGTATTCACACAAAAAATCGAAGGTGGCAAATATGGTGACCATGGAAGACACATCTAATGTTGCTTCTTCATCCGGTTCACTAACGCGAAATATGTTAATAAAAAATAGTATTATGGTCTGAAGCAAACGAAATCTCGACTTTCAGAAACAACGAAAACCAAGATAAATATATCTCAGTTCCATACCACCAATACTCCTTGGAAATATTTTCAAGGAACTAAGTATGAAGGTGGTATTTAAAACAAGTCATACACTATAGAACCTTTTAGGGAATCCAAAGAACAGAGTCGAGAATTCGGCAAAGGCTGGAATTTATGAAAGTGGAATTTACGAAATCAAATGTAAGGACTGCGGTCCAAAATATAATGGACAGACTAGAAGATCTATTGAAATAAGATATAAGGAACACATAGCACACCTAAAATTTGAAAGACCACAAAAATCGCAGTCCCCCATTATATTTTGCAACAAAACCATTCCATAGACTTCAGTTCATTAAGATTAGTTGTACAAGTTAACAACAACAGGCTTCTAGATGCCTATGAGAGTGTAGAAATAAGTAAACATAAATTTAATATTAGATAATAGTATATTACGTACCAAGTACGATAAGAATCAAATTACCCACGAGCGAAAAATTGTAAGCACGAGGCAACAGCCGAGTACGATAATTCGCGAGTGGACGTTATTGGCCTTATCCTCGAAGTGCGTACTATACTTTTTCTACGACTGACCGCAGAATACACTTGTATTCTAAATAAACCATTACCTACCTGCTGTCAAATACGTAATGATCAGTTTAAAATGGAGGAAGTAGAAAAGTTAATCAATTCAACTCACAGTAATTCGATGATTTCTCCAGTGTGACTCTTGTAGACTAAATTGGAATTGCAAATGGTAATGGCAGGAAAAGGAACTTTCCATACTGGAAAATTGGTTGTCTTCACTGTTGTTGTTACTCTGTTGTCACGGTATCGAATCATTTGAAAGTAGATAAATAGAACACATAAAATGAAGCATTTGATACAAATCAAGTACCAAAAGACGGATTGGTACTTTGAAGTCTGTGTCAAATACTTGAATCCATGTAGAGTAGTTTCTTCGCAATATTTTCTTAACTTCAAACGGACTCTTTCACATGACTTGTTACCTGAATAAAATGTTTCTACGTTCAATTTCATGTGTAGCTTTACAGGTACAGCAATAGCTATATATACCGGGTGTCTCAAAAATTCGTATTTGCTGATGCATACACATTTGGCAAATGGCCAAATGCACAAGGTGTGGAAATTTTTTGTAATTACGGAAAAATGATTTTCCAAATTGAACAATCATTTTATTTTCCTATCAATTTTTCTCTTCGCATGTAATAAATCTTGAAATTAGTTAGTAAATTATCGTATTTATGAATTTCAACCATAAATAAAATAATTGGTTGGATGTTTTCCCATACTTATACTTAATTATATACTGAGGCTTTCTTCAAATGACTGACGCTTCAAAAAGTTATTCATTTTGGTTTCAGTGGAAAAATTATTGGTGAAAAAGGCATCCATTGGATATGTAAAACCACTTTTCTGAACATTTCCAATTCAAAGAGAGCTTAGTATATAAAAAAACAATCATTTATTTTATTTAACAATAATAATAATCGAATTCTATCATCGACGTGAATAATAGTCATCAAAATACAAATGCAATAGACATCGACGACAGGCGAAGTCTATATTGAGATGTTTTTCAAGTGAACCTATACGGAAAAATGTACAGTGAAATGTACATTAAATAATGAAAATTTTATCAATCAATAACTCTCTCCTCAGAGTCACAGATTATCAAATCATCATACCCATTGAAGAATGACATTTAAATGAAATCATATACATGTTTAACTTTCTTCATCAATTTATATATTTAATCCATTGTTTTTCACTCATTTTTACTGTAAGTATGATCTGTAATGTTATTCAATGGCGAAAAAATCCACAACTCAAAAAATTATAGGCGCTGAAGAAGCTTCCCATTAGAAGCGAAAGCTTGGCAAAGTAGAGCAGAGTTTTAATTTTTGATTTCTTGACTGAGAGACCCCGTTAATCCATTTTACTGCCCAGATTGAATCATCCTCTTATCAGTCGCCAGAAATCGAGTTCCACTTTTTCAGTTATTCTGATGTAGATGTGTTTTTTTTAAATTTCGAACTCATTAGTCTATTTGGTGATGCTCACATTTCTACTAGTAAACTTCAGTGAGAACATCAACTATTCAGCAAAACCCAAAAAACATCACTCAATATGATTCAAAATTTCTCACCAAAACACCCACATTGATTATTTTTTCTAAAAATCTTCACCGACTTTCGTTTCATTTTATTAGAAGCGCTACAAAAGTGTACAATACATCTACAAATCTCCCAACAGTCATTTGATATTTTGTTAATTGATTTCTTGAACAATCGTGACTACCGCTGCTCAAGAAAGTTTCATTAAATTACTTTTGTTCGTAGTAATTGAAAACTTATTCATTAGTTGTGAAGTCCGAAATCTAGGTCAATATTTATTATCTTTGAACTTCAATTCAACGTACACCGCTACGAATTTTTAATCAACCGACTGATTGGTTGTGAGAAAATGGTATGATGATTTGTGATTAGGAGTTGATTACCAGGGTGGTCCAGAGTTACCTGGCCTGAACTAGAGATGGCGGTAATTATTTGAAAAATTTCAGGGTATTAGAAAGTACCCAATCTTTTAAACATATGTTTCATGTTTGAAGACGCCATGAATAGAAAAAATGTAATTTGAAAGAAAAACAATCTGGCTTCCTATTTCTCCACCATTTAAAAAATGTGGAAACCTCCAAAGGAAGGAACAAAGAAAATGACTACAATAAAAACTCTTTATGAAAGTGTGTGGAACATAAACAGAAACAGCAGAAAGGAAATAAATACAGCTGATCAAACTTGGTCATTAAACTGACATTTCACTTCGAAATATATAGTTTCTGAGTAAAAACAGGAATATAAACCTAGAGTCGAGAAAGCAAGCCTACCTCATCAGGAATTTGTGACGAAAAACTTGATAACTTGCAAAAGTTCGTCACTTGATTACAAAACAAGACTCATTAACAATTTAAATAGTTCTTTATAACAAGTCATAGAAAAAGTATAGCATTCTACTCGTGAGAAGTGGCCATTACTCGCTCATTGAATGATATATTCTCATTATAGAAGTGACAGCTCGTAATTACTGATAATATGTAGTAAACAAAGTGGGCAGTAATTTGGAAACAGTTTGGAGCAGAGTGATAGGAACAAAGAAATTCAAACATCATTGATATACCATCACTGAAGATAATTATTTTTACAAGTTGTATAACTATAAAATAACGTTTGCGTGGTTTTCACGGAAAATGTTTAATGATATTCCATTAACATTCGCTCAAATAACCGGAAAAAGTAGTGATTGATGAACACAAAAATATATTCGACATGACGTTGATGCATTGAGGGAAAGAGAAATGCGAACAATAAAATGAACAAGCAAATCGAAAGTCCGACAATGTGGACTAACGATTTTTCTTTTCAGTGAGTCAGCTTGACCCGTGTCGCTATGCATATTTGTCCTGCAGAAAAAACTGGAAATATTCTAGTTTTCCAAATGTGTTTGACCATTGCCAAAAATATAGGCCTAGCTCTACATGGTAAACCTCATGAAGAACTATGGAGAAATATATTTTCGAATCTACATTCCATAATTTTCTGTTGTGTCATCCTCTGCTTCCAACTTATTCAATTGGAAAAGCCCATTTCCGATCTGATGCAACATGCATATGCCAGAGTATTATAACTGTCGCTTCATTTCATACACGATATAATGGAGATAATTTGTTTGGGGTCATCATTCCTATGTGCTTATGTATATTGGGATACTTGGAATAATATATCTTGCGAGATATTGCCTGAAACCATTTCCGAAAAACAAAGATTCAACCACAAAAATAACAAAGTGTATGGAGTTCTCAAAATTGCCGTTTGGCATTTATCATTCTTGTTTCTGGCAACACATTCCCTTTTTAGTTATTTTCGTATCTCCCAAAGATTCGAATTGTCACTCGTGACATTTTGGATTCAGCAGTATTTTCATTTTGTAAGAGTAATACTGATTTGGGAAATATCGAGTATTCTGAATATTCGTTATGATTACTTGAAAACAGTTATTGAAAACACATTTTCTATATACTCAACAAATCGACTTTGCGAAATACAATTGAAATTAAAAATACGACAAATCAAGACAAACTATAGAAAACTATATAAAACAATGGAGGATGTTAACAGAATATTTGGACTACCCTCGACTATTTTGATGATTTATGTAATATTTCTGATAATAGATTGTGTCGAATGGAGTTGTAATGCATCATTCGAAATAAAAGACACGGGAATATTTGTGCCTGCGTTTTCTAGTTGCCTTGCCGTGTTGGTAAGTATTTTCAATGTGTATATACTTTTGAAATGCATATAGGCATTCACTTCTTAAAATATTATTGTGATTATTTCCCTCGAACCGATAAAATGCTGACAAAATTGAAGGCTAGGCCACTAAAACAGAGCATTACAGCGATTTTTTCCTTCAAATCGATAAACTGATGAAAAAATTGCAGGTAGGCCACCACAACGTAGTTTCACAGCCATAATAATCCGGTCAATTTAGACATTGGAAAGTACATAAATTTATAACAAGCTGCAAACGCGTGTAATTGTTCAAACAAAGTTAAATAACAAGATTTTAAAATTCCGAATGATTGCGATGCCTGGAAAAACATTTATTCGAGGTCAAAGTTCAAAAATCTCGAAAAAAATTGGTTTTTCGCGATTTTCAGGAAAACGGTAAGTTTTATCATAAAATAACTTCAGTTAAAAATTGTAGATCATAAAATTCTCTACAAAAAATGTATAGATACTTTTTTTTCTTAGAGCCATCGTTTCTGAGATACGACGAGTCAAAAAGTTGTAAAAGTTGTAATCGTCATTATATGCACACGTTTCCACGCCACCTATGAGATAGTGTACTTAGCGCATTTTTTTCAATGTGATTTCCCCAGTAGGCCTATTCCACATGTCTGTTGTGATTCTGTCAAATTGAAAACTTGCATAATAAAATATATTAGGAAAGGTTGGAAATTATAAAAGTGATTGGAATTAAAAAAATGTAAAAATGTATTCATCTGATTGACCTTCAAATACTTCTTCTTGTCGTTCTTCTTCTTGGTCTTCTTCTTCTTGATCTTCTTCTTCTTGATGTTCATCCTGGGTGTAGGTAAACTGCGTGAAGAGTGATGTTTCCTCGTTGGTATCCTCCACTATTGGTGATTCAAGAACTTTTTTACAACCACATTTAGCGCCGCTGCATCCCTTTTTACAGTTGCAAAAAATTGTGTTCGGCAGTTTTTCTGGCGCAGGTGGGAGTAAAGTCTGCATAGGTTCTAATGCATTGTCGACCAACTTCCAACCCCAGTCTTTTGGGTCTAGCTGATAACCAAGCCACACTTGAACTTGGAAATATACCAGGAAAAGATGTTGATGAGCAGCAACTGAGGTTGGAGGAAGACAAGCTAATTGCAGCTGTTTCTTATTTTTAGTGTTTTTTACGAAACATGCATATCGATACTTATCTAAGCAGGTGGTTTTTGTCGGAGCTTTGTACATAGAAAGAAGAAACTGAATCCCGTTGGTGATAATTTCTTGTGGAGTCGAATTACTTTTTTTGAAAACTTCAGCACATTGAACTAAATCTTGTTTTTGAAACATTTTAAAGACTGTTGCTTTACCCCCCCTGTAAAATGCAGACATCGTATCACAGCCAGTTATTGCGTGTAAAAATAGTACATGATTTTGACTCTTTGCAAAAGTAGATAAACTTTTTGACGAATATATTTCGGTTTGAATTTGAGCTTTTCCTGGCTTTAGAAAGAAAATAGTTTTTTCAGGTGTAGTTCGAGTAGTAAGAAGTACGAGTAAGTCTACATCTTCACCAACAACAATAGTTGTATTTGTCAAACTAAATTTATTACATAAGGGGGGAGGGAGAATATCTGGTAATATTCACCATTAACAAAATTATATCGTTCTTCTAATCAGGGGTTTGTTCTTACCTGAAAGTTATAATAAGAAAAATATTTAACGTGCTCTAGTGACTCCCCTTCTCAACTATAATCCTGAAAACTAAAACACAAACTTTGCCTAGCTTGGGGGTAGGTTCTCTGTATAGCGGGTTCTGATATCATAAATAATTCCAAGTGAATCAAACGAACCTGACTCATGAATTCGCCTTATTTATTATTGATTTTAGATCAATGAACATGAACATTTGAGATAGTACTCAAGGGAGATCTCACTTGCGTCTCACATTAGAATAATCAACGACATAAGCATATACAATTTCTTCTAACTCTTTCGTAGCACAACCCCATACAAATTATAATGATATTCTATTATAATACAATTAAAAAAATATATATAAATAAGGAATTCAAAATAATTGTCTTATTGGCTAGACTTATCTGTTTCTGTCCAATATGAAGGTAGTAGATCTAATGTTTCTATTCAGGGTGGTGAGTCGGGATAAAAAGTCAGATCTTCTGGACTGGAACCGATCTATTCAGGGATGATCGTCTGGAGCGCAGGATAACACCTACCCATCAGGACTCGTTCCAGGTAACAAAGATGACTTGAGTCAAGGGTAGTAGGCCCCAAACAATCTAGGGGTGGAAGAACAAGCCCTAGGAGAAAACATCAATGAAAAAAAATAATAAGGATTTTCGACCATCCAGAAGTAGAAGAAAAAAAAAATAAGAAAATTCAACTTACGTGGAAGAAGGGTGGCTTGAAACGTAGCTGTCCTACGCAAGGACAGAAGACAAAGTGCCGGTAAACACAAAAAAATATCCG